GCAGATTGCGTGGCAGGCGCAGTACTTTGTGAACCTCCATGCGCAGATGTCGTGGCAGGCACAGCATAGTGAACCTCCTTGCTTCTCCGAACCTCGACGGGGAAGCTCCGCGGAACGACGGTCTCGTGTCATGGTCGGATCATGCCCGGATCATGCTCGGATCATGGGCGGAATCGTCCCTCCATTGTGATTAGAGTTTTCACTTGTTTCTTGAATTGCAGAGTTCGTGGCGCAGCACTCTGTGAACCTCCATGCGCAGATTTCGTAGCAGGCGCAGCACTTTGTGAACCTCCATGCGCAGATTTCGTGGCAGGCACAGCACTTTGTGAACCTCCATGCGCAGATTTCGTGGCAGGCGCAGCACTTTGTGAACCTCCACGCGCAGATTTCGTAGCAGGCACAGCACTTTGTGAACCTCCATGCGCAGATGTCGTGGCAAGCACAGCACTTTGTGAATCTCCACGCTTCTCCGAACCTCGGCGGGGGAAGCTCCGCGGAACGACCGGAACGACGGTTGCGACACGGTCTCGGGTCATGGTCGGATCATGCTCGGATCATGGGCGGAATCGTCCCTCCATTGTGATCAGAGTTTTCACTTGTTTCTTGAAGTGCAGAGTTCGTGGCAGGCACAGCACTTTGTGAACCTCCATGTGCAGATTTCGCGGCAGGCGCAGCACTTTGTGAACCTCCACGTGCAGATTTCGTGGCAGGCACAGCACTTTGCGAACCTCCATGCGCAGATTCAGGCGCAGCACTTTGTGAACCTCCATGTGCAGATTTCGTAGCAGGCACAGCACTTTGCGCAAACCTCCATGTGCAGATTTCGTCACAGGCGCACCACTTTGTGACTCTCCATGTGCAGATTTCGTGGCAGGCACAGCACTTTGTGAACCTCCATGCGCAGATTTCGTGGCAGGTGCAGCGCTTTGTGAACCTCCATGCGCAGATTTCGTAGCAGGCATAGCACTTTGTGAACCTCCATGTCCACTTTGTGAACCTCCATGCGCAGATTTCGTGGCAGGCACAGCGCTTTGTGAACCTCCATGCGCAGATTTCGTGCCAGGTGCAGCGCTTTGTGAACCTCCATGCGCAGATTTCGTGGCAGGCACAGCACTTTGTGAACCTCCATGCGCAGATTTCGTGGCAGGCGCAGCACTTTGCGCAGATTTCGTGGCAGGCCTCCATGTGCAGATTTCGTGGCAGGCACAGCGCTTTGTGAACCTCCATGCGCAGATTTCATGGCAGGCACAGCACTTTGTGAACCTCCATACGCAGATCTCCTGGCAGGCGCAGCACTTTGTGAACCTCCATGCGCAGATTTCGTGGCAGGCACAGCACTTTGTGAGCCTCCATGCGCAGATTTCGTGGCAGACGCAGCACTTTGTGAACCTCCATATGTAGATTTCGTAGCAAGCACAGCACTTTGTGAACCTCCATGTGCAGATTTCGTGGCAGGTGCAGCACTTTGTGAACCTCCACGCGCAGATTTCGTGGCAGGCACAGCACTTTGTGAACCTCCATGCGCAGATTTCGTGGCAGGCGCAGCACTTTGTGAACCTCCATGCGCAGATTTCGTGGCAGGCACAGCGCTTTGTGAACCTCCATGTCCAGATTTCGTGGCAGGCGCAGCACTTTGTGAACCTCCATGTGTAGATTTCGCGGCAGGCAAAGCACTTTGTGAACCTCGAGGTGCAGATTTCGTGGCAGGCACAGCACTTTGTGAACCTCGAGGCGCAGATTTCGTGGCAGGCACAGCACTTTGTGAACCTCGAGGTGCAGATTTCGTGGCAGGGGCAGCATCTCGAGAGCTGGAAGCTGAGAACTGGCGACTTTGTAGTGCAACTTTAGTATGCGGGGTAATCTGGCGAGGTGGAGGCTGAGAACTGGCGTCTTGATGAGAACTGGCGACTTTGTAGTACAACTTTAGTACGCGGAGTATCTGGGGAGCTGGAAGCTGAGAACTGGCGACTTTCTAGTACAACTTTAGTACGGAGCAATCTGTGGAGCTGGAAGCTGAGAACTGGCGACTTTGTACGCGGAGCAATCTGTGGAGCTGGAAGATGAGAACTGGCGACTTCGTAGTACAACTTTAGTGCGTGGAGTAGCTGGAGAGCTGGAAGATGAGAACTGGCGACTTTGTAGTACAACTTTAGTACGCGGAGCAATCTGTGGAGCTGGAAGCTGAGAACTGG